TAGGTGGAAAAAAGCTTTCTCCCTTAAAGCTGCTTTCATCAAGATGTTTTTGTCACAGCAACAGAAAGGAAACTAATTAAACGCCCTGTAACAAAAATGGAAACAAAATACACAACAAAACAAAAACCCAAAAGCAAAGTGCTGCAGATAAGGCCTGAGAGGAGGCTCACTACTGATCTGCACAGGGTGTGCACAGGGTGTGCAAATGACGTAATAGAACATTCCCACCTCAATACGCACATAGCCCTGGATCCTAGGCAGGGGCTCTCTACTCCACCAGGCAATGGTAAGTCAGCATAAGGACAATGAGGACAACATATGCAGTGTTTTCAAACCATGGTAGGAAGCTAACTGTGATGTGATGACCCAGGACTTAAAAGTCCAACTTTGCCTCTAGCTTCCAAACTCTAATGGGGAGTCCAATCTACCTCCAGAGACAGTAGCTAAGAACAAATGATAAAGCTTCTGTAAATTATAATGTCTCAAAAAATAATTAGTACGATAATAGGTATTAGGCACTAATTTCTTAATACTGACTTCAGTGTATTTGTAAGCCCCTTGATGAACGGCAAGAACAGTAGAGTAAATGTCAGGGAGGCCAGCAGTGTGCCACAAAGAGGTGCCAAAGAGTGTTGGTAACAGCCCTTGCTCCAGTTGTGGCAAACAGTAAGAACAGGAGTCGAGGCTCTTTGAGGTTTGGTTTTATTTTACAAAGATCACCCCCAGTAAAGTATCCTTGGCCGAAGCCAAAATAACAGCCTTGAACTTCCCCAACTGTTTCTCACAGAAGACCTAGGGCTTCTATTCGAAAACCATCATGGCACTCTTACTCTAAAGATTCAGGAAGATTTGAGGTGGCTTTTGCAGAGAGCTGAGTCAAGGACAGAACCTAATAGTGGTCTAACTGTGTTTCTAGGAGTCTGGGGCCAAGCTTAGCTGTTTCAGAAAGCAAGGATATATGGGGTTTTGTTTCTGAAGGGGAGTCATAATGAGAAACAGAAAAAGAATTCATGCCCACTGCAATTCACTTGAAGGATGCTGGTTCTGGCTCAGTTCAATGAGAAGACTCACACTCTGACCAAGACAGAGAGTGAGGGATCAAGTACCAGCAGAGGCCAGATGTTGAACCAGCCAGTTCAGATCTGGGACAGGGAAAAACTTTGGAAAGGAAATCGGTCAGCTAGAGTTGTGGATTGCCTTCTTTAACTTCCCTCTCACCTCACCTCCAAGCTGGTTGTTGAGCTACAGCTTTTCTTTCTTCAAATGTACAATCTCTTTAAAAGGAAATGCAGGAAGAATATTTGCTACATTAGGTAAAGGAAAAGCTCCAGTATCAGACTTTTTTTTTTTTTTTTCTTGAGATAGGGCCTTTCTAAGTATCCCTGGCTGGCTTAAAACTCAAAGAAATCAGCCTGCCTTTGCCTCCTAATCACTGGGGTGCTCTACCAGGTCTACCTAAGATACTTATGTCAACATCCTTGTTACTGTGGTATCAAGTGGAAGAGTGGGTCCTTGTTTTTAAGAGAAAACTCTCTGATTACCTTTAGCTCCACAATATACATTACGCACCGAAGTGGTTGGTATCCCTGGTAAAGAATTAAAATGACAAAAGAGGATGTGTGTCTTACAAAGTCTCTTCTCTTAAAAGAAAAAACCCTCAAGCTGGATGTGGTAGCACCTTGAAAGGTGGAAGCAGGAGGGTCAAAGATCTGGGTTGCATCAGAGCCTGGTTTTTTTTTTTTTTGTTTTGTTTTTTTTGTTTGTTTGTTTTTTTAAGGAAGGAGAGGTGCATGGGGGGAGGGACATACTTCAGTATGAAAGTTAGACCTTGAAAGGTTTATGAGTTCTATCTTAGCACATCACAAAAATTTACAGGAAACAAACAAACAAACAAACAATTAAAAAATAACAACCAAAAACAAAACAATAAATCAAAAGGAGCTGGACAGCATGGCACACACCTTTAATCCCGGCATTGGGGAGGCAGAGAGAGGCGAACCTCTGAGTTTGAGGCCAGCATGGTTCAGGACAGCCTGGGCAAACCCTGTCTTGAAAAACAAAACAAAGCAACAAACAAACAACAACAAACACAACAAAATACCAAGAGGAATGAGCACAGAAGGCAAAAAAGGAATCAAACCCACAGAGAATACTTGCTGTCCTCTTTGGGGGAAGAAGGTGACAAGGAAACTGAGAGATACAAAAGTGGATACAATAGTTATAAGGTTGCCACAGTGACAGCACACAGAGCTGAGAAGACCAATAGTTATTTTTCAGATACTTCAGGAGATGGAAGGGAAGTTGTTAGTAATCTGTTAAACTCCACCTCCACAGTCACCTGGCAACAGCCAGGTATGCTCCTCCCCAGAGTTACCTGGCAACAGGCAGGTAGCCCTGCCCACTATAAAAGGGGCTGCCTGCCCCCTCCTTGCTCTCTTGGTCCCTTGACCCCGCACCTGCAGGTTGCCCTCTCCCCTCTCCCCTTCCCTTCCCCCTCTCTCCACGTGGTCATGGCTGGCCTCTACCCTCTCTACTCTTCTCTCTCTCCTCCCGCTTAAACTCCCCCTCGTGGAACCATCTAGTCTGCTGTGATCTGTTACAAGCTGCACGTGAAGACCTTTCAGAAGTCATAGGCAATGTTGGACACAGCAAATAGAATTACAGTTTCTAAGAAACTTTAAGACAGAAACATAGCATTTGGCTAAGACAGGGCTTAGGAACAGGTGACAGATAGCAAGTAGCCTGGCCTGGAAAATACAAAGGCTTTTCAACTTAGCTGTCAGGCAAACTAGGGGTGAAGTGGGGGCAGGGTAGGAAATGTACTGGAATCAACAAAATGACAAATGAACAGTTCTGTCCATAAAAATGAAATGAAATCCTGGGTCAGCAAAAATATCAACTCTATTTACTCAAGAAACTTGTAAGTTAGCTGATCAACTGGGTGCAGCAATGAAAGAAAGGACACTGAAACACAAAACCCCAAGAGGTGACAAAAAGATGGTGACATTTACTACACTAGGTTCTTCCGAAAATGGCATGTTAATGTTAGCAGAAACTGGATTACTTTGACTGCAGAGAAACCATTGTGAATATGCATCTATAATGAGTACATACAATAACACTCAAGTGTGATATTATATTGGAAACACTTGCTAAATGTCAAGTCTCCACATCTGGCAGGCAGTGTGGTTACTGGAGATGATGGCCAAGTCTAGCACCTGTAATCTACAGAGACATTTAATAGCTTTTTAGACAATCTGCTTCAATTGTCTGTCCAGGCAATCTGGGAATCTTACAGAATTGCTTCGTTTTGAACTGCAAATGTTTCTGGGTGCTTGCCTACCTGCTTTGGCAGCCATCGTAATAAGCAGAAGAGTGGTCACTGAAGCAGGTGAGGTATCAATGCTGAAATAATCAATATCCACCTGTATCGGCAAAGTGACTCAACAGCTGCATCTCACCGAATCCACATAATTACCCACTTAAAGATGTAAGGAAGGAGCTAGGCCTGGTGGTACAGGCCTGTACTTCTAACCACTCAAGAGGCTTGGGCAAAGACTATAGTTAAGTTCAAGGAGCATGTTGGATGAATGAATGCAAGGGTGACATGAGGCTGGTGAGGTAGCTGAGTGGTAGAATGCTTGTCTATCATGTGCAAGCCTCTGTGTTCAACCCCTAGCACTGGAGACTAAAGAATACAACTGAGCGACAACAAGGAGAGACTTTAGGTTACTGAAAATACTGGCAAATAAAATTAGGAGTTACTGGTTACAATAAAAAAATTATAGTATAAACAAAAAAGTGTAGGAGGAAGAAATACACATAGAAATATGTGTAAAAGGACTCTGTGGTATTATAAGTAACACAACTTTTCTAACTCTGTAAAAGCTAAGAATGAGTACAAAGGCTATATGTAATACTAGAATTTATTTTCTTGTTTTATTTTTTAAAATGTGGTTATTAAAAGTAAGTACATAATTATTTTGCATTCTTCCCGAATAGTAAGATCAGACATCTTCAAGGAACAAGAGATTGACTAAAAAGTAAGGTCCATGGATCTGTTAATGCTATGTGACTATAATAACATGACAGCTTATTAATCCAAGTTGTTTAAATCTTGCGTAAGAACTCATTAGCTATGTGCATTTTTACATGTATATCATGGGCCAATTTTTTTAAAAAAGCTTGAAAAAAGCCTCATTAATTGGATTATAAATGAAACTGTCAAAATAAATCCTGACAAACACCAAGTTTTAACAGGAATTTCAGAATAAAGGACAAAGAAACACAAATTAATATTAATAGGTAAGTGGTCTCTAGAGCCCCAAGGGATCCCATGCTGACTTTGACAGGTGTAGAGACGATAAGTTAGAGATGAATCTTGTATCTGCCAAAACTCTCCTCCAGGTAACATGGGATAGAACTAACACTGGGGACAGCACAGTCCTCCTCAGAACAATGGGAATCCAAACCAGAGGCTGGTTATGGATTCACACCTGAGGGGATGATGGCTTTCTCCTCTGGGTTCTGTCTGACACTGGGTGTTCTGGGACCTCAGGCCCTGTACAAGTCATCCATACCTAACACATATGGCAATGCCATTAGCCCTGACTTGTGGGTTGGAAACAAGCTTGCTTTTCCTGGTCCCATGAAAACAGAAGTGCTCCGAGAGTAAGCCAGTGCTCCTCATTCTCTCCCAATTCAGAAGCCAACATCCTGGCTACAAGATAGTCACCAAGTATACAACTGAGTTGTGATGATTCGCACACCCTGGCTCCATGGGAACTGAGACTACAGGTCTTCAACTGATCTAGCTCTCTATTGAGTAACAATGTAGGACAGGTTATGTTTTCCACTTCTGACCCAATTGCAACAGTGCCTACGTTAACATCAGCTTTAACTTGGTACTTTGAAATGATCTGAACGTCTGAATTCAGCCATAGCAAACAGGTAGGAGAAAGCTCCCTGGCGAATGTCTGGCTCATGTTAATTTTACTCACCTCTTTGACACTATGTGTCACTGCCCATATTAGGAAAACTCTTGACATCACCTGGAAAGAAGTCAGGACAACAGAAGATGGCACAATCCCTGAAAGAAATTTAGGATGTGTAAATAGAGGTACCAGACTAAGTTTTATCACATAATATGCTTTCCAAAACTTTCAAATTTAAATGTCTACAGTCAACACCATCTCTAGCAACTGAAACTTACCTATGCGGCTAGAGATTAAGGCTAGCAATATATTTACCACTAAAACCTTTTTTCCTGGCACAAAGCAAACAGTGACATTCCTCAATGACAATGACCTTTCTTAAGCCTACAGTGGTTTTTAATACTTACAAACAAAGCCAAGCCACTAACCTGGGAGATACGGATGGTTCACTTTCCAATATGGCTGTCATGATCCCTAAGCAACTATGAGCAGGAAATCAGTCCTACTAGTGTTTAACAAATGCTGAAAGTTCCCGGATATCAACCTTGAGTATTTTGTCAACAAGCCTAGCAAAATCAAAGTTTATATCTTTAAAACAGATTTTCTCAACTTATTCTTCTAATGCACTAAGTCTGTAACACCAGAACATCTTTATTTTAAATAATCAAATTCTACTAACCTTGTACTTCTTTGGCTTCAAATGCTACACCATGACCCTTACCCAGACACAATAACCACTGTCATGTAGCACGATTGCCTCCTTAAAAGTCCAAATAAACCATGATCTGGAAAAACTCTTCTCTTTGTGACTTTAAACCACCATAGAACTGCTTCTAAAAGTAAGGTTTGGAAGCCAGCAGTCCTTCTGATATCCTCTGACCTCATGACTGCCAATGCCTATTCTGACTTGCTAGATACCTGAGATTGAATATGAGAAATTCTATACCTGCCAAGAGCCTTCATCCCAGTCAGTGTGTCTGCTTTAAAACCAACCTCATCATTAGCACAGTCACTATCCTGCATCATCATCTCTATTCTTCAGGCTCCCTAAAATAATAAAATACAATCTTTCGTACAGCAGGTCAAGTTACAACTTGCCAAAGACCAGGCCAGAGTCCCATGGAGCCCAAACTGTCACAGCTCAAACTGTCACAGGCTTAGGGCAACAGGAAACCACTTTACAACTCTTTAAGAGATGCTATTATCATGTTAACAATGGATTTTAAGAAAGCAACTTTGAAAACTGAGCTTTGAAGGCTAGTTTGGTTCCCCAAAGCAAGTAGCACGGGAGTGTCAGACACAATGTTTGGCATGTAGACATGCCCAGCAAATCTTTGTAGAACGAATGGAAGAAAACACAGATCCAGAGACAGACAGGTAAATGGAATAGTCTGGACAAGAACCTTCATCTTTACAGTCATTTGTTTTTCATTAAGAGTGTCAGACAGTTCAATAGAAAAATGAGTGTATTTTCAACAAACCGGGACAATGGGTACTCACAGGTGAACAAAGGACTTATACATAAAACCTGACTCAGGAGCTGAGGAGATGGCACAATTGTTAAGAGCGTTCCCTGCTTTGCCAGTTTGATTCTCAGCCCCCATGTTAGGTGAATTGCCCAGGAAGTTTTGCTGTAGAGAACCTGAGACCCTCTTCTGGCCTCCTTGGTCACCTTCACACATGTAGCATAAGCATACTGACATAATATAGATTAAAAAAAAAAACTAAGAAAAAAATTAATTCAAGGCTGAGATGTACACACACACACACACAAACAAACTTATGTTCCCACAAAAACTTGTTTATGTGGGAACAATAGGTGTCTAAGTGTCAACAGATGAGTAGGTAAACAAAATGTGGTATGCTCTTAAAAACAAAAATTAGTAAAAATAAATAAATAAATAAATAAATAAATAAATAAATAAATAAAAAATAAAGGGCTAGATAGGAGGCTCATGAGTTAAAAGCACTGGCTGTTCCTCCAGAGGACCCATGTTCCATTCCTAGAACCCACAAAGCTGCTCACAGCTGCCTGTAACTCCAGCTCTAGGGGATAGGATGCCCTCTGCTGGTTTCTGAGAGCACCAGGCATGCAAGTGACACACAAACATACAGGAAAACAAGATATCCATACACATAAGTAAAAATAAAAACTAGAGATACATTTGATTGAAATTCTCAAAGAACAGATTAAGAGTAAAACAAAAGGCAAAAAGAAATGAAGTAATGATGTATGACACAGTACCGAGTACCGACGGCCTTTCAAGATGCCTATGCTGAGCTACAGGAAGTCAACGGCAAAGACTGCAGTTTGGACGACAGAGAGGAGATCTGTGGTTACCCGGGGCTGGAGTCTGGGGGAAACAGGAAGTGGCTGCTAATAGATTTCCTTTTTGGGTAATGAAAATGTTTCTAACATTGACTGTGGTAATGGTTGCACAACTCATTATACACTCTAATAGGTGGGTTATATCTGAATAAAGAGATGTTATTAAAAATAAATATGAGTGAAGTGCAAAGACTGGTTATATAATTATGCAACACAGCTAAAGAAGCTGACCAGTGAACCAAATATTTAGTGAACATATTAGCCAGATAAAACCTCGAGCATGTTTTACAAAAGAGCTGGAGAATTAACATTTTTAAGCAGCAGGCATTTGTTGCTTAAGGAAAGATGAGTGTTTCTAGCTGTTGCTGCTTCCTCCAGCTCTTCTTCCTCCTGCTCTTATTCAAAGACCATCTCATTACATAAAACTATGGCTTTGCCCCTTTTGTTTTTGGCCTTCTTGTTTGGTCACTAGCCAATGTGTTTTGCTACCGAGCTGCTGGTGTTTCTAGCAACACTCCAGGATGCTGCTATAAGTTATAAGCTCAAAACTGATTTCATCTCACTCACCAGCAAGAATTGAGCCTTAGGAAATTAACGTATATTAATCAAACCTTCCAAGATGCCGTAATAATCCAAGTATCCATTTATTCATTTGTAACAGTGGCACAGCTTTCTAATGCTTTCTAATTTCAGAATGCTTAGAAGTGTGACTTTAAATAAAGGGTCTAGAAGAAAACTGGAACTGTCTGAGCATTGGCCTCCCTTTCCCCACTCCATGCTGATGATGGAATTGGGGCCTTGTGCAGGCCAGGCAGGCACATGGAGGTACATGGCACATCCACAAGGGACTCTTCTACTTTATTTTTTAAGATTCATATATTTTATTGCAGGGAATGCTCTAAGGGGCCCTGCCTGGTGGGGGAGTTCTCACTCAGCCTGAAGTTCCTTGGGGGCGCAGAGCTCTTGGATTGGGATCCCCGGGCCAGGAGGTGACCGGAGACCGACTGGTCTCAAGCCCTTCTCTCAGACACCACTGAGAGGCCACGGAAGGACCGAGAGTGGGGGCGTGTGGGAGCAGGCGCGACTGGCCGGCCCACAGCTAAGAGAAACGAGGCCAGGAGAGAAGAAAGAGGCCCCAGCAGCGCCCGTGGGAGAGACTCGGTTACTATACTCGCTTAGCAGACTTGGCGGCCTGGCTAGCTTGCTTGAAGATGTGGGTCCCCATGGCTGGAAAGCGGAAAGGTCCTCTAGGCGGGAAGTTAGGCAAGGCAATAAAGGCCTTCTCTGCGTTTCTCCAGAGACACGTGGAGTCTATGAGTTTAAGAGATTTATTTTCATGGCGGGATGGTAGATGGATCTGGATGTAACCCCCCCTGAAACTCAGGGCAGACCTGAGTTAAATAGAGAGGGGAAAGGGGGAAGGGTCTGGGGAAGAATGCTTAATTGGCTCCACCCTTTGGCCTTCATTAGTATGTAAATGTCATGCCCTCTACCTGTGCTGTAGATGGTGACACAAAACCTCTCTGGGAGGAGCTACTTTGAGCCAAATGTGTCTGCAAGATGCAGGCTAGTGGAGGTGTAGGTCACATGTGGGAGGAGTTTGGAATCCAGGAGATGCAGGCAATGGTCTACCTGTTGGGTCTCTGGCTATCTCAGACCCAGTGCTCTACCGGGGAGACCAAACCATCCCTTTGCAGCCCCACATTTTATATGTATAAACGTTTTGCCTGTATGTGTACCACATGTATGCCTAGCATCTGAGGCAGTAAGAAAGTGTGGTGGAGTTCCTGAAACTAGAAGTATGGATGGTTGTGAGAGTGTGGGGAACTGAACTTGGACCCTCTGCAAGAACAAGTGCTTTTAACTTCTGAGCCATCTCTCCAGTCTCCAAACAAGGATTCTTTGTTTTGTTGCTTGTTTTTAAGACAGGGTCATTCTCTGTAGCCTTGGCTGTCCTGGACCTGGCTATATAGATCAGACTGGATCTATATAGCCAAATTCACAGCAATCTGACTGTTAAAATCAGAGGTGTGCATGCGTTACCATGCCTGGTCCAGCAAGGGATTCTTAATCCCCCTTTTTACCATTGAGCATCCTTTTCTAAGACTTAAGAGTATTTATATTTGCTTTCCTTTTAAAAATGCTAAATAAAAATATCAGAAACATTTTCCTTAGAAACAAAATTTGAAATCCAAAAACAAGGATTTATTTTTTTCCTTTGTCTTTATTTAAATAATTTATTTATTATCAGTGTGTATGTATGGTATGATATGATGTGTGTCCTTCCACATTCATATGCGTTCCGGAGATGGAACTCAGGCCATCAGGCTTGTACAGCACGTACTTTACCAGTATCTGAGCCCTCCTGACAACCCTCTAAGCATATTTAAAAGCACACATTTATTCCAATGCTTGTGTTCTCTGTATTGTTTTTTCCCTCATATATTTCTCTTATATCCTTCAAAATATCTTGAGTGCTACTGTTTCTTTGTGTGAATATATTTTCATTTTCCTTGTATCAGACAATGAAATTACCTCAAATTTCTTGCTATAAGTAAAAGAATAAAATACTATTAAAAATAACTTAGAATTTTTGAGCATGGATTTGTTCAGAGATTCTTTCCTTGGGGGAGTTTCTCAAGAGTAGATGTACTACGTCAAATGGTATGAATGTTTTAAGACTCTTAAAACATTGGCAAATTACTTCCAAACAGTTTGCTATCAGTTTGTATTCCTAATCACCAATATCCAACACATGCTTTGCAATAAATTTAAATAGTATTCACAAACAGAAACTAATTTTTGTTCCCTAGTTTGGAACAGATA